TTCTGCTGACGTCAGTATTTTAATAATTATTTAAAATTATTTTTCATTATTTTAATAATTATTTAAAATTATTTATCAGTATTTTAATAATTATTTTTTAGTATTTTAATAATTCCTTTAAATTATTTTTAAACCTGCAGCAAATATGTATATATAATGCCGGTCTTCTTCACAACTTCAGGGTTATGGAATTTCAGCTCAATTGTTTGACTTTATACAATCATTCCTGTCAAACCGTCTATTGAAGGCTGTTCTGAACGGATTCTCCTCCAGCTCTTTTCCCACGAACGCAGGTGTTTCCCAAGGCTCCATCCTAGACCCTACTCTGTTCATTATCTTCATCAACGATCTTCTTCACGTCATAGATTTCCAAGTAGGCGGACGACACTACAATTTACTCCTGCCTCAAAAACAAATCTAGTGTGGCTGACAAAACTAACCTGGCCGTTTGTCTCGTAAAGGACCTCCAATCGGTTGTGAACTGGGGCAGGAATTGGCTGGTTTACTTTAACGCCTCAAATACAAAACTGCTCTCTATTACTCACGTTTCATCCTTTACCTTATCACTCCTATTTGCTCTCGCTCCAACTCTCTGTAACCCCTTGCGTGCAAGTGGCTTCCCGCGTTGCTTGGGATACAAAATTGTCCAAATCGTATAACAGCATAATTACCCATCCCACAAAATGTCAAATATCTAAAATACCACAAAACTAAATGCGTTTCTTTTTCCCAGGTTTTCAGATAAGACGTTTAGCCATCTTGATACCATTTGTCGTAAGAATACTTGAATACCCTTTTGAGTTATTCAACTAGAAAGGGAACAGGTTAAAATCGTTTTGCGTCAGCGCCACTGTCTTCTCAACTCCAATGGTGACAGAAAAAAGACCATTCAGGCCTTAAGTAATGTTACCAACATTCATACTCGCTTCCATTATCAAAGTCCATTCAAGAACCATCAAGAGAACGGTGAATAAGTTTAAAAAAGAGAGAACAGTAGAGAGGAAAACTGGATCAGGAGGTCACAGCAGCAAAAGGGATCATCCTTTCAACATAGAACTCAAGAGATCAATTAGAAAAAATACAATTCAATCCATAAGACGTTTGGCCCGTGAGAGAAAAATTTCAGCTATTACAGTCCAATAAGCAGTGAAAAAAAGATTTGAAAATAAAATCGTATGTGAAACGTGTGAGGCATCTTTTACTCCAGGATAGAAAGTTAGAAGTTTAGAGTGGGCGAAGATCATCTTGAATAAGTTGAAAAATTATTCTGGAATAATATATATATGTTCGAAGTTTATTTCAATCCGTCATGAGGTTCCTATCCTTAGCTATGTTTAATTTATGATAAACTTGTCATTTTCGATGATGCTCGATTTCATCACGATACTTCTGTTAAGCTTAAAAAGTAATTATACATTGTTATTGCTCAAAGTAGAATCCAATAGTGTTATAAAAACATCTAAGAATTCCAGTAAGATATCTTTAATCATTTCTAAGATACAACGGTTCAAATCTTAATCTAACTATTGTACAATTTTGCTGTTATACGATATGGACAATTTTTGCTGGTACACCCAATATATATATATATATATATATATATATATATATATATATATATATATATATATATATATAATTATTTGCTCTGGATTTACATTGAGCTCTCTGGATTTTATCCTCTTTGGGTCTACTCATACGGATTACCTAGTTTTTCATAAACTATATATATATATATATATATATATATATATATATATATATATATATATATATATATATACGCAAATATATTTGCAGAAAATGCAAGTATAATATCCTCATCGACATGTAAAAAAAGAATAAAAATAATGGAAGCGTTAATAATAATAAAAAAAGAAAAAGCCAATAGTCATAGCATCAAACATGAATACAGCCAAATTTTTGAAAATAAAATATTGCAGTATCTCTAGATACATACATTCATGGTCACCCAAATGAACGTGACGAACCCGACTGGAACTCTGCTCTTCGATTTCTCCTCCTGAGCCGTTATCCATTACGCCACCCGCACATCCACGCTTACAGTACCTGGTATTCTCAAGCGGTCACCCATCTAACAACTGAGCAGGATCGACATTGCTTAGCTTCGATGATCGGACGAGAACCACACTTTCAATATCGTCGTCCGATGATAGGTTATTTGGCTCCAAAATTTTGAATTCAGTAAATGTAGATACTTAAAATTTATCTAAATTGTCTGAAGTCAGAATTTTGGAGCCACCAGATATTTACAAAAAATAACATTGAAAACTATTATAGGTAAATAACAAACAGGGTTTTTTTTATACAATAAATTTGGAGGTTGTTAGATACGATGGAGGAAAGCGTCAATATTGACACCAGATTTGCGACACGGTTGGAATGAAGTCGTTATTTGAGTCCCAGATTAATTGACGTGATAAGCGAAAAATGAAATACACAATCCTAATATATCCACTGCAATAAGATATAACTATCGGTTATCTTTTAAATAAATAAAAAAAATCTATGTTTTTGTGTATTGTTGACTATATTTACTCTCTTATTTCCGCTCCATTTAAAACCAGAATTCTTTCATATCTTTGATGCTAAAAAAAGACACATCTTCTAAGCTGGTTTTAATTAAAGATGTTTATCGGGTGTTCATTTTTTCGGGGTTTTTTTTTTTCGTTTTCTTTTTTTTTTTTTTTGTAACTAAATTCGAATTTGATTTCTTGGTAGAAAAAAAAAGGTTTCAGCGTTATTAAAATTAGGATTGCAACCTGAGAATATCACGCTCTGTGGTAGTTGAGCGGGGATGTCTTATATCACAAAGTTTTGTATTTGTAATGAAATAGTGAATTGGGAAAGATATTGTTAACAGCTGGAAACACTGCGCTGAACATTTGCTGAAAAAGTGGGGTCTGCTTCTCATTCTAAATGGTGTTTCGACCCTAGATAAAAACAAAATAAATAAATACAAGCACCAGACCAATATGGCAGCAATATTCGATGCACAAACAATTGGTAGATAAATATGCAAGATAGATTCTGATAAGAAAAAACGTCTGTCGCTATATAATAAATCTATATTATGTTAGAACATTGCAAAAGTTTGTACCCGATTAGAAAATTATTCTGTAACAATTAAAGTACAATTACAGTTTACTCAATTAGATTAGATTATGAGTTATTGCCTGATTAGAAAATTAAAAACGAAATTTTATATACCCCCCACAAAAATAAACATTTATTAGTTAAATAGATATCTCCACTGATTTTAACAACTGTCTCCCATCGTTCTACAAGATTGTTGAACCTATTTTCGTTGAAACTACGTGATTTTTGCTGAAAGAAGATTATGAGCGTAGGAAATAGGGTACACCCAGTGAGGATCGAACACAATATTCAGTCTTAATTGAACTAGTGGAACAAGCATGCTAACCACTACACAAGATCGAATTGCCCATTGGAAGAGGGTTATGAGGTAGTTTTCAACTTACTGTACTGAGTCTGCATTTTTTATCTGTATAGACCGGAACAAATGAAAATCCGAAGAAGACAAATCTGGAGAATATAGAGGTTGCTGGGGGATTTCACAATTTCAACTCTAAGATTCTGCAAGATCTGTTTTGCAACATGCAGTCTTGTGTTTTTGTGGTGGACAATGACACTTTTTTGATTTGCCAAAATCAACCGTTTTTCTTGAACCCAATTCTCTTCAAACAGTGAAAGGCAATTTAGACGCATCTGTATGTATCCATTGAAGTCATATCGCTTACCTGTTCATTACTTGCTTTTCAATTTTATTCTTTCAATTATATTAGATCATTGCAAAAGAAGTAACAGGTAGTTTTTTCTTGAACGCCAGTCTCTTCAAATAATGAAAGACAGTTGAGACATCAATTTTCACACTTGGTAATCTGTCATCGAAATCTTCGGTTTATTCTCCACAATGGCCAGCAGAACGTTTACACCGACATCGGAAGATCGTCCTGAACGTGGTTGATTGTTTAGGTCAAAATCACTTTGACGAAATCTGCCAGAAAAAACTTTTTGGCCGTCCGATGAGCTGGAACCCGATCCAAATAAAAACATTTGAATGTTTTTTGTCGAAGTTCCGAGGCTTCCTCTTTTCCCAAAATCATATAGCATTATTTGGCATAAGTTCAATTTTTCACCGTCAATATTTAAACCAGTCATTTGTGGACAAAATGTCACCATCAAAAAGAAAATATAGCCTGACTCGCAAATAAACGATGCAAGATTTCAATCGAGAACACACCAGAAACCGGTAGAAAAACTAACACTAGTGTCAAGTTGCGATCGTTTTATATTAACAAGGAAAATTGGACATGAATCTTTGCAATAATCTGATATACCCAACATTATTTGCAATGGCTTATTGACATTTATAAGGAAAATCTTGATATATTTTGAGTAAAATTTGCGTAAAATTGAGTAAAAAAAAAAAGGTTTTGATGTGAAAAGTTTTCGACGAACTCTTAAACCTGGACTTCATTAGAGAACGTTTCCCCCATCAAAGCATTTTTGTAGCTATCAAAAAAGTTAATAATCGGTTGGTGCAAGCTTCGATGAATCTAGAACAGGACAACCGAGTTTAAAAGCAGTGAAATACATTTTCATCCTACTAGATTTACCTTCACTGCTTTATTCATTGTTAGTGATGAAAGCTACAAGTATTCAATATAAGAATAAATGGACGCGTCGAAGCACAAAGTCAAATTTGTAGAAGAAAGATAAAAGTATGTGTCTGATAGATATGAAATTTATGTCGCCAATAAAAAAAAAAAATATGTCGGGTCAGGAAAAATTGGTCAAAAGACAGCAATTTTTTTCTCCAAAAATGGTTTCAATTATGAACGTGGCGAGGAAGAGTAGATGGCAGCCAAGTAAAAATCGATAAGTCGGAACAAAGAATTAGATTGATATTGGAATGATTTAATTCCATTGACATCATCGAATATGTTCGATATTTT